TGGGTGTGGGTGTTGGCAGTGCGTGTGCAGGGATGAGGAACACTCAAACGGACCCTCACCCACCCATACTTATACTCAATACCCACACTCACATCCACACACCCACATCCATATCCTCACCACACCCACACCCACACCCACCCACACCCACACCCACATCCACATCCACATCCACATCCACACCCTTTAACAAAAGTAACGAGAAACAAAAATTTATCAGCATCATCAGCAACAGTATCAAAAATATTTAAGGTTTTAGCTATTTATATATTTACAAAAAAATAGTTGATATTGAATCATTTGAAGCTAAAACACGAAAAACACCTGATTATGCAACTGTAACACATTTTAATATAATACATATTGAATGTCATACATCAGCTGTTATAACTAACAAATAAGGTTTCTTCAATCTTCTTAAATTTTCTACACCTATTGCGCTTTCTCATCATTATTAGAAGCATGTACAAATAACTGTTCAAATTCGTGATTAGGAAAAGAAAGAACATATTCTCTCATCAGAATAGGCAACGTTTACGAATTAAATTTATATTCATATACCTATCATTTGATCTTAAAATGAGGATGTGACTGAATAAGAGGTCCATGCGTTCCCTTTTTCATGGCGAATCTAAATATACCAGTTTCATAATACAAATGGTATAGAAAAAAATTTTTAAATCTAAAAAAAAGTATCAGATTTTTAGCATAGAAAAATGCTGTTTCTGAAAAAATGGACCATTCAGCACAATTGAAAAAGCTTGGAATTTTGTATCAAAAGTCTTTCGAAAAAAACCACATCTATTCTTACTCAGCTCGACAAGCTCTGTCCAACCATGTGTGAAAAAATGCAAAAATATTGCTTGAATTTTGCATAAGCCATACCTTAAGTGAAATATTATTTTAGAAAATAATCTGAATATAAAAACTGTGAATATGAATAATTTTTATTGTATAATCTTTATCAATATTGTTAATCAATCATAAATCAAACTGAAACGATATTATTATTAGAATTCATACGTGGTTTCGATGTTGCTAAAGGATTTAAATCAGATGAATTTTAAATTTGATTTTTTTCTATGACTAGAAAAAGGATTTTCTACTCAAACTAAAATCATATCTAATCTGATTTCTATCCTTTCGTGAGGTCGAAACAGGTTATGAATAATAATATATAAATAATCTCTGTTTGTTGACGTTCATTAATAATAAATTGATTAATTCTCCATCGAATTCTGTGTCCTTTTTATTATTTTAATTCTCATAGTTTACTATTACATTTAATGAATTATTATGAAAGTTTATTAAAATACATTATTCTATTGCGAAAAGTAATGATTTAATATTATTAATTGATTCTGGTTAAAAAAAGTATTTCGAAGAAAGATTCTGATAAACGTCATAATTTCATGTCTGTTCATTTTACTAACATTTTTAACGACAATGAAAAAATCGAATGGTAGCATATATTACAGGATGTATAATTACAAACAAGTAATGAAAAACAAAAAAAACATAAAAACAAATGTTAGAAGAGATAAAATGTTGAATTTGGTCGAATGATTTATATGATTTAACAATAAATAAACAAGTATTATATGTATACAGGTAACTATGCTCGTGTTTGATTTTTTTAATAAACCATTGTTCTCTCTTTTTTATCATAATCCAATCAGTCAAGCATAATATAATTATATGGATTGATCAGCGATTACACTTATTTCGTTTCATTTCATTAAACACATACACACAGAAGGTTTGAATGGTAAGATTTTTCTTATTTAGTTTTAAATAGTGACTGGATTAGATAAAACTACCGATGACGGTATAAAACTTTAATTTTTAAAAAGCCGTTCACTGATTGTCAAACTCATAGTTTTGGTTTTCAAATGACTAAGTTAACAACTATGTTTACGTTCTATAATCGATTATATTTTTATTATAAGAATTTGTATTGATTCAAAACAGAGTCTGAATCATGTCGGACTATTAAAAATAAATCAAGTGAGATCGATTTGAGTTGTGTTGGATCATGTAACACATATCTATGACGGAAAATAATGTCAACGAGATCAAATTGACCTTTACACGAAAATCACTCAATCCAAGTCACTCTCAAATTATTATTTTTCATTAACAATGTTGCACATTTAACGTGTATCAATGATTTTAGCGAGAAAACTCCTCCACAAAAAAGTTATTGATCCATTCAAACATGTACTCATTAAGATTATTTCTTTATAAAAAATTGTCTAAAGATATTTCATGTCCAATATATTCACTATCACTTTCCATTTTTACACAAATTTCCATTCCTTTTTTCCGCATTTTTTTCGTTGATGTTCTCATAATCTGTCTCTATTTATTGTACTACTAAGAAAATAGATAGACATAAATATACCAAAGATACATAAGAGAAGAACACTAAATTTAAAGAGGAGGAAAAATATTAGACATATCTTATGCATATCTAGTTTAGACAATTAATTAGAAATTAAATGGAAATCAATATAGACTTCAATCGAAACCGAGCAAATTCCACATTCTAAATATCGATGTAGTATATGCATTTAAGAAAGTTCGTTGGAATTCAATTTCTAAATCTTGGCAAATACTATAGTTTATGTTTATTACTATATTTATTTTATTTTTTAATCTAACTATATATCGAAAGAAAAGTCAGAACGTACAGTATCTTTTGATATATTTTATGTTGAATATCAAATGCAGTTTGAAAATTAAAAAAATGCACGAGAAAAAAAACTGAGATCTTATTCCAATGTGTGCAGCACGAATTAAGAAATTATTCGAGATCAACATTCATTATTTACAAATAACGGTTATAATTTATATTGAAGAAAATACTATATTTAAAATAGATATTTTATTTATCTCATCTAATATAATAATACTCATTTTCTTCTTTATATTTTTATAGATTATTTAATAATGTCAAATCATTAAAAATTTGTTATTACATCAGTGCTCAAATAATAAAGTGATATGTTGAAATAAATGGATTTTACCAGTTGACGATTAGCGCGATCAATTCTTTTTTCTATTTCGAATGTAAGACGAACTTTGATAAATCGAGAAGAGACACTTGAAAATAATCCGTCAGATAAACGCCAACCTCGTGTTGTTGAAAATTTTATTATTATCTGGTTAGATCCTAAAATTGTTGAATCAAATAGTGATTATCAAAATTCTATTTCTCATCTACGATGTATCGTTAATGCCATTAAAATATTTACTGATGCTGATCGTTGCTTGGATTTTCTTGGTAAAGTCAAAAGATGAAAGAGTGTTTTTGATTGTTTCAGGCTCATTTGATCAAGAGATCATTTCTTGCATTCACGAATTGAATCAAGTCGAATCTGTCTATATATTTTGTAGTGATAAGTCTAAACACGAACAATGGTCTAAAAGCTATGAAAAAATAAAAGGTGTTTTTACTGAAATTGGATCTGTATATGATGTACTAATACAAGATATTCATCAATCTGAAGCTAATTTAACATCGGTTACTATTCTTGCACCATCATCAAATATGAAATCACATGAAATTGATCCAACATTTATATATTCACAATTACTTAAAGAAATTCTTATTGATATAGAAAAAGAAGATACAGAAAAACAAAAACTTATTGACTTTTGTCGTGAACAACATCCTCAAAATGATTCAGAATTAGAATTCATTAATGAATTTGATCGAGATTATTTAAAACAATCTCCATTATGATGGTATAGTAGAGAAGGGTTCGTTTATAAAATGCTCAACAGAGCCTTACGAAATCAAGATATTGAAATAATTAATAAAATGACTTTTTTTGTACGTGATGCTCATAAACAGATTGTATAAGTGTACGTGCAAAAGTTAAATGAATCTCCTTCATTTAATGCTTATCGAGGACAAAGGATAATAAATGAAGAATTTGAACAAATGAGAAAAAAATTAGGGAGGACTTATATCATTCAACATTTTTCTTTCCACTAGTACCGATAGACAAGTAGCATTAGAATTTGCTCAAAAATCTCAAAACGATTCAAGTAAAACGTGTGTTTTATTTCAAATGGAAGTTAATCCTGCAAATGCCAGTAATCCTGTTGCTTCAATGCAAAATATTAGCTTTTTTCCAGCTGAAAAAGAAATTCTTTTCTCAATGAATATGGTATTTAGAATTGGAGAAATATAACAGATCGAAGATAAATTATGGCAAATTAATTTATCTTTAACAAATAATGATGATCAACAATTAAAGCGTGTAGCTGAATCTATTCGTGAAGATCTTGCTGATGGACGAACAGGATAGCATGAACTTGCTATTTTAATGATTGAAATGGGAATTTTTGATATAGCTGATGAATTATGTCAACATATTATTTGAGAAAATATCGAACGATGATTGAACGCAACTTAATCATATTTATCAACTTAGTGAATTTATTAAAATGGAAAATGGAGATTATTCAAATGCACTTTTTCATTTACAAAAGTATCTGGATGTTTATTTAAACAAACTTCCAGATTGTGATCAAGATCTTTCTGGTATTTATCTGAATATTGGTCAGACTTATCAAGGTCAAGGTCAGCATGATCAGACATTAGAAACATTTCAATATGTTCTCAATAAAGCTCTTCAATTACGTCAATCTCAATATAAATTAATGAGTACTCTTTATTGTTCTATTGAAGAAATTTTATGTTATCAAGAAAAATTTGATGAAGCACTCAAGAACTATAATCTTTCACTAAAAATTCGTCTTGAAAATTTTTCACCAATTGATCCTTCTATAGCAGAAACTAATATTGGTATTGGTGAAGTATATGAATTTATGGAAGATTTTAATCAAGCTTTTATTCATTATGAAAAAGTACTTGAAATACAACAAAGATCTCTTCTGTCTGGAAGTTTAGAATTAGTTTTCACTTATAATCAAATTGGTCAATGATATTTACAAATGGAAGATTATTCACGTGCGATTTTTTTTATTCTGAAAAAGCACTTCAAATTCAAGAAAAATTTCTTTCAAAAGATTCTCTAGAATTGGAACTCACTAATAAACTTCTTGGTGATGCATTAAAGTTAATGAAAGATGATCCACGTGCACTTTCTTGTTATCAAAAGGCAATTGAAAGTGAACAAAAAGCAATACCATCTGATTATCTTTCGATTCACGAAATTTATTATGAAACAGCAAAAACACTTGATCATCTTCAGAGATATAAAGAAGCTATAGAATATGCTGAACAAACATATCATACAAGATGTGACACACTCGGGTCTCAACATCCAAATGTAACTGAGATACAAGAATATGTTGATAAACAAAAAAAAACTTGAATCAATATTAAATTAAGTTATGTCAAAAAAACTAATCAAAGAATTAAGTTATAAGTTGAATAACACATTAATTTAATAATGTAATAGGATAAGGGTTTTTATGTTAATGAAATAAAATAAAACTTATATAATAAAACTAATCGTCATTTATTAGTATTGACATTTTTTCACATTGTAGGTTTACTCGAAAGATATATTAAATATATATCAGTTTTATTCTCATTGTATTGTTTAAAACATTGAAAATTGAAATGTATCATTGAATAGACATAATCCATATCTGTTAGTATCGTCTTTGTTTATCTTTCATCACACACATCATTAATAATGCATCTTAAAAATATGACAAAACTTATGTTTGAACATGTTTTTTCTTCTATTAGATCGAATTATATCAATACACTTTAAATAAATTTCATATTCGTTATATTTATTCATATTATTAAGAGTCTCATATCGTATAGAACAGCCCATAAACAATTGCCGTTACGACTGCCGTTTTCACACTGTTATCTATCGTAGCAAAACAGTGTCTTAAAATTACCAATAGACACTTTCTAATAATGTATACTCGATAAATTTTGATAATATCATCTACTATTACTAATTAGACTGCATTAGAATGGTTCTATGGAGCGCTTCGTTGAGATTGAAGTTCAAATCATTCTTTTCTTTAACTATCTTTTCTTCATTAATTTGAGGCTCCATTAACTTTCTTGCGCTAGTTCACACATCAATTGAAAATTCTTATTGAGATCTATTCAACAATATGACACGTAATTTTCAGAACAGTCTTGGTATCAGGCTAGACGGCGATCAATATCATCTTGATTATCAAGTTATTGAGGAGAGTGTAGATGTGGGTGTGGATCTGAATGATGAAAAGTCTCCAGTTCCACACCCAACCCTTATGGATTTATGTAGGTGATGCTTGTCAAATTTGATGCTATACAAATGCGTTTCATATTAGAACCGCGTAGAGAATGATCTACATAAAAACGCGGCTCGTTACGATTAGCGAAAACCCCTATCAAATACGTTCGAAGAAAGCTTTGTAACACGTTCAGACGCGTTTAAAAGATATTCTGCTAACTGCATGCACATGAAGACAACAAAAAGCAAATATCATTCTTTCTGACAGATCTTTGACGCATATTCTTCTTCTTTTAATTTTGGCGACCGAGAAGAAAAATTGTCTCTGATTTAATGCATGCAGATAGACAAAAGAAATGTATAGTCTTATTGAAATTTCATCCATCAACTATTCTATTTTCGAATAGCGAGGAAGTGGACATTTTTTTTCTTTCTCACATTAATAACGATAACCTTTTGTTTGTGAATAGAAAGAGCAGACGAAAAAATTCGATCTAGCGTCTCGAGATAAACAAAGAGAAAGTGAAGTAATTTTAATTGGATTTTTTGCATTATCGGTGTAATTTCAAATGAAAGAATCGTGTTGTTTAAATCTTGTATATCCAAACATTAAAGTCGCAATACTTTTGACTCTTTGACTCTATCGATCCAGCACTCATTACATTTCTTCTGCTTTTAGATGACAGAAAGTGCTAGTGAACAGATGATGCCATTAAACATGAGTTTATATGATATTCGTAAAGATAATCAAATTAACAAATATTTCAAATTTCATAATAATATTACAACGATAAATCGAATGGGTCCTTATGGTATTACGGCATTACACATTGCGAATATTTATGAATACAATGAAGCTGTTCAATTATTATTAACAAATAGTACATTAAAATCATTTGAAAATATTTCATATCAATTAACATCCGATGATGAATCTAAAATGGATGAAATAAAAAAATTATTTCTCAAAAATTCGAATTTATTTCATTCTCATGAAGAAATGCAACATTATGATTATATTGAATGGTCATTAATTAGTAATAATTTAATAGAAAAACGTAAACAATTTCGTGAACAAATTGATTTATACAAAACTTATGATAATCAACATCATTTAATAACTAAATTATTAATTGAAATAATTGAATATTACTTAAATGAATATTTAATTCAGCAAGAACAATTTCCAAGAAATGAAGCAAAAAAATTAGAATTTTTTTTCAAACAAGCTATTCAAGAACAAAATTATTTAAAATATTTTATTAAAGCTTATACATTAACAAATAATTTTTATCGTGTTCTTAATAAACATCTAGCATTGTATATATTAGATTATTTTGATACATCATCCTATTCATCTTCACCAACAAAATATCATTTAATTAATTGTTTAGTACATATTGTAACCTTATTAATTAATCATCCAGATATACATAAATATAAATATAAAGGTATTGCTTATCGTGGTTTATTAATGACAAGAAATGATTTAGAACGCTATACTATTGGTACTCATATATTAAATCGATCATTTGTGTCAACATCAAAAAATCCTTCAGTTGCTAAAATGTTTGCTGATAATAGCGAACAAAATATTTTACAACAAACATCAGATCATCATGATTTGGTACAAGTATCTGTTTTATTAAAATATACAATTAAACAAAATCAAACAGCTATTGATATTGAACATATATCAACAGTAGAAGATGAAAAAGAAGTGTTAATATTGCCATTTTCAGTATTTCAAATTAAAGATAGAATTGATAATAGTCCAAAACTGTGTCCACCAGTATTAGTTGAAATTGAATTAGAAGAATGCGAAGACGGTGAACAAATAAATACTAGAAAAGAGAGACGTAAGTAATACCATTAAAAATAAATTATTCTCATTTTCATACAGCTCTTCACACTGTAAAGAATACTGTGGTTTTTAGGAATAGTATTGATTCACATTCGATAATCGATTTTATTTGTGTTTGACATTTTTAACGCACAGGTTTCGTCTGCAGTGCGAAATATGGTACTTAGTGTATAGCTTCCACGTACCATTTTACCTGTTCTAATATCTTGAATACGATGAGGAACTGTAGTTAGTCTGCGTTAGAAGAACTCTCGCTTTTAATAATCTGGAATAAAACAACGTCCGAAAACAAAATTCACCCATTTGCGAAGCTCATCCTAGACGAACAAAACAATGTATTGAAAGTCCTAAAATGTTTATAGCATCTCGAAAGATGGGAGTTTTCGACAACGTTCCAACGGATGTCTATCGACTCTCCAATCTATAGATCACCGCCTTACGAAGTGTGCAATATCGATGTCGACAAATTCAATCTAGCAAGCGTAATAATAAAAAGATGCTGAGAAATGTACGAATACAATGTTAGTGCACCGTATTAAAAAAATACATGAAGAACTACATGAATGCTGTGCTTCACACCACATTCATTATTTTTTAGTGTTTCCTTCTTGTCAGTAGAGGGAAAGATAAAATTTTCGAAGAGATATGTAAGGCGTTTCTGGATTCTTTAGGTAAACTACTGACAAATCTTCAAAATCAAACAAAGAAAAGAAAAAACATTACCACATCACAATGTTTATGTATCAGTATTGCACCATTTATTATTTTAATTTTGATTATGGCTATAAGTTTTGTTATAATTATTAAAATACAAACTCAAGAAAAAACAACACTAGAAGGTACTACATAATATAATTTATATTCCCTGACCAAAATACGCTAAACACCTTATTTTTTCGATTACTTCTCTAAACTATTGTTGTTTGGTATCGTATTTCTATCACAAATACATGATTGATTACTCAATTTATGCTGAAAGTTTCAACCCTATAGAATGAGAACTTGTTGAGAAAACTGCAAATATTTCTTACGTACTCATGTGTCACTAAAACAAAAATTTGTTGCTCTGTATATTTCTCTGTTACTTTATATTTCATTTAAGATCTTGAGTAGTTGATAGTTGTCTCTCAAGCGTGGCTTGCTGATGGAAACATCTCGAGATATTTTCATCAACAAGTCATGCTCGAGAGGCAACTATCAACTACTCAAGATCTTAAATGAAATATAAAGTAACAGAGAAATATGCAGAGTAACAAGTTTTTGTTTTAGTGACACATGAGTACGTAAGAAATATTTGCAGTTTTCTCAACAAGTTCTCATTCTATAGGGTTGAAACTTTCAGCATAAATTGAGTAATCAATCATGTATTTGTGATAGAAATACAATGCCAAACAACAGTAGTTTAGAGAAGTAATCGAAAACATAATGTGTTTAGTATATTGTAGCCAGGGAGAGTTGTCAGACTGGGTAAATATTGTTTTTTTAGATTGGTTGAAAAGTAGCTGTTCAAACATTGTAAACCGATCTGTTTGGAATGCTACTGAACCAAAAAATAATTATACTAATTTATCAACACCTGTTTCTTATGTTGCTATACTTCATACAACTGGTAACGATTGTGAAAATCACGATTCTTGTATATCAATAATACAACACTTCCAAAAATTTCATATGATTGCGAATGACTGGAATGATATTGGCTATAATTTTTTAGTAGGTGGTGATGGTCATATATATGAAGGTAGAGGATGGAAATATAAGGGTAGCCATTGCTACGGTTATAATGACAAAGCAATTGGTATGTACGTTTTGAAAATTCACAGAGAGGAATAATTTAATTTTTTATTTTTAAGGGATCGGTGTTATTGGTGATTATACTATTACTCCAATGTCTAGACCTTTAATAACTGCTATTAATTCTTTAATTAATTGCGGTATTTCATCTGGTAGGATTGAAAAGAATTATACATATCTTAGACATGGAGGTTATGGTATTCGTGAAAACTATATATTAAATCTAACTAAATCTCGTCATAGTATACACTATTGTATACCAAAACCAAAGACTGTTTGATCCAAATGATTTGACTAATTTTTCATTTTTTATTCATGAATAAAAAATACTTTTCACTGATTGTCTTACGCATAGTTTCATGCTTGAAGTATTTTGTTTCCAAAAAATGTTCAGCGAAAACCACCCTGGACGATGATTCTGGGCTCCCCAAACGACCATAACTAACCGGAGAGTGTGGGTGTGGATGAAGAAAAGAACAACATCCACACTCACTTATATCATTCAGTTTTGTGCGATCTGCTGTTGTACCTGATCATCCTGGAATAAACAATGCGATATATACATGTACAAAAAATAGCTGAACAACAACATGTAAGAGAATTACAAGAATTTTATCATATTTTTTTGCTTATGGTTTATCTTTTGAACGTAGTTTAAATGTTCTTGACGATTGAATATTTGTTTTTCTATCAAAGATTTTTTGATGATATAATTATAAAATAGCGAATAAAATATTTTTTTAACTACAATAAGCCAAATTTCAAATAGATACCCATGTCGTCAAAATCGCCTCAGTTTTGATGATTTATCGCGATTTGCAGAAAAGTTAACGATTAATCGCGATTGATCGTCGACTTTTTGAGTAATTCAGATATATCGCGATTTATCACCAATTTTTTTAGTACTGTAAATGCATCGCGATTAATCGTCGATTTTTTAGTGACGCAGACGTATCGTCATAAATCATCGATTATTTTGAGATTTGTGATTGGTCGAAACTAACTTCAGATTTTCAGATATTTTCATCGAAAAAAACATTTTGAAGTTCTATGATAATCTAGACGACAATCTCCTGATTCATTAATTATCGGTTTATTAGCTTAGATAAACAAAAAAGAACTCGTTCGTATCTTCTTATTTAGTTGATCTGTATCGAATTAAATTATATAATCTACTGCAATGATTGGCTTGTGCCACGAATCATTGACGAGTTTCAACACAAATTTTTATTTCTTAATATCTATACAAACGAAGATTAGTTTTTGATCTTTATAAAAAGCTGGCTTCTTTCAATCATTGCAACTAATTTTAGAAAATACATGTAATTAATTAACCAAGAATAAAATTATTCTCAACTTCTTCTTTTCTCTTCTCTTTCATATAAATTCTCACCTCTTATTAAATTTTATGAATTTCTTTTCCACCCATAGAACTTGTAAAATATTCATCGGTTTTACTCTGCATTAGGAACCAGAGACGAAAATGAATAACACAAGTTCAATTAGATTCAGTTCGATTCATATTGCGTTTGGACAAGGGCAGATGTGGGAGTGAGATGTGGTTTTATAGTGAAAGTCAATCTTCTATCAACCACACCCACCCTCAAACTATTTTTTTAATTTCTTTCTTTTTGAAATTACTTGTCCAAGTGTCATGACCAGTGGATTCATTGTATTATTACAAAAAATATTTTAGTAAAGTAGTGGAATATATTTTCGTATTAAAAATGACTCAGGGGTGTCAATTTATTCCTGTGTTTTAATTTACGAGTATATTAAGTAAAAAATAATTTTTTCATTATTAACATTTACAAGTATAGTTTATAAAAATATTTATATTCAAAGATAGATATAAATAACAGTAACTTTTTTTTAAATAAATTAATTTCTGATGATATAAGTTTTAAATAAATTTAATTTTAAATAATTTTTATGTGTCAATATAAATTGATATCCTTCAAATTTATTTATAAATAAAAATTATTTAAATTTATTTTAAAGTAGCAGAAAAATTAGATCCATAGCCTTTACAGTAAAGGCTTTACTGGTAACATTTTCGTGTCTGTTCAATATATATATAGAAAGTTCAACAAAGTGAGATGTATGTAATTATAGTACAATGGGATATGCCATGCTTCGAAAATGCAAGATCATCTGTTCGAATCTGCTTCAAGGTAATAAAACGTGAGTTGGAACACGCTGACAAAGCATATGGATGTACTTATAGACGAAGTCGTTCTCAGAGAACGTGAACAAATAACAAAGAGAGCTCTTCAGTAGACATCAAATGTCTGCCCGAAAAATTTACTTTTTTTTAGCTGTTTTTATGAGAAGCCTAGGTTAGGCAGCCGTAAATAAATCGCGATTTCGGTTGAAAATCGAAAAAAGTATCGGTAAAAATCGGCAGTTTGAATGATTATATCGCGATAAGCTCTCACGATTAATCGCCCTAATATCCCGCGATAAAATCATCGATTTTTTAGCGATTTTGAGGACATGGGTATGATAGAAAAGGTTCAATTTGAACCACAAGTTGATTATCTTCAAAAACTCTCGTTTCATCTATTGATAATTGAGATAAAACAGACATTAATGATATAATATTACTTCATACACTCCGTCAAAATTCATCACGCCATGTGATATTCGTTAGTCGACGTGGGCTCATGCAAGTATTATTTAGTATAACATACGAAAATAAACTTGTTGTTCCATTATTTCATTACGATTATAATTCTAATAGAAGAGGTTCTCGAAATGATAAAAACACTGGATTTCTTATTGCTAAATAAAATCTTGAAAAAAAAGTTTTTTTTCAAATAAATATCATGCAATGGCGATCTAAGATAAAAAAACTAGTCTTTCTGTTTTTTTTTTAAACAAACTTACTCATTTATTTCTTCATTTGGTGATCATAATCAGTGCAAAATTGAGACGTTTGAATAATGATAATAAATTCATACCTTGTACATCAAAAAGAGTCATTTGAATATCGTAGTTACTGAAACTACGGGAACAAGCATAAAAGCACTGATGTGATATAAATTTTGTTTTCGAATATGTAACAAGCTTTTTTCGTTGATGATCAAAATTTTTGCACAATAACGTTGTTGATCTGTCGAAAAATAAAAAATAATTGAGTAATGAAAATATGCTCGAGTACTTTGTGTGTGTTCGTCTGCTTCGTGCTTACAACTGACCATGAGAGCTATAATAAACTTTTTTTCTTTCATTCTTTTCTTCTCATGTGCTGTTAAGACAGTGGAACATGTGACTCTCACCCGTAAGTCATTGCTCATACTGTTGTTGACGACTAATTATAACTTGTACAATTAATGTGTGGAAAAAATTAAACTTTATCCTCACATATATTGAGCTATCTGTGATTGAATTTTTCATAATTTATGTGTTAAGATTATGAGGATGACCGTAATTCCTCCTCTAATTTTTTTAATGTCTGACTTTTTTCCTATTTTAGATATTAAACGATGAGAAAAAAGATAACAGAGGATAGATGCTTGTTTTCTTTTCTATATATAAATGATTAATTAATTTTTTTTCTTTTCCGTTTAGCCAAGAATGTCATCACATCATGTCATCGTTTATCATATTTTTTTCTTTTGAGTATGAGAATAGGGTGCGACTAAGCAAAGTGAGTGTTACTAAGAGAGTATGGTGAGTCATGTCCATTGAAATTAGGCTTCACTTATCTGAAGGACTTCCGCGTAGTCCTTAAGAGCTCGATCACGAACTACTTTGGTGTCGGTGGCACACAATCGATCTTCCAGACTCAATGACACATGACATTGGATGGGTCCATGTGAATGACGTGGGTCTTCCCATGCATACATGAGCTTTACGCTCACCACGGCTCCACCAGAATGGTTCCTGGTCGCACTCATGTGTGAATAGAATAAATATTAATTCTTTTTCATTCAATCATGATTTATTTGTAAGAGAAAAAGAACAAAAAAATAAAATTAATCATCGCATAGAGTTTATTCGATGTTAAATTTTTGTACTCGATTATTTCCAAACTCGACGACATAGAGATTGCCATATCGATCGAATGATATACCTACGGGACAATCGAATTGATTCGACTGAGCTCCTTTACCATTTCCACCAGCAATGACACTTCCCTGTGTTGCTCCTTTTGGCCAACGCATGATCCGATGATTATGATAATCAGCCACATAGACAGTACCCAATTGATCGACAACGATTCCTTGAGGACCTGACAATTGTGTAAGACTATTTCCTTGCCCTTGGCCACCGGCTACGACAATGCCTTGTTTTGCTCCTTCTTCCCATTTCATTACACGATGATTCCAACAATCAGACACATACACTGAATGATCTCGATCGATAAATACGTAGTGGGGATGGTAGAGTTGATCGAGACGATTTCCTTCTCCGTTGCCACCTGCAATCACTGTTCCTTGAGTGTCACCACTTTTATATCGTCTCAGTTCATGTTTTCCATCGTCGACCACATAGAGAGATCCACTCTCATCTTTTGTCAAACCCACACAAGAGGTGTTCGAAAGAACAATCTCTCCACTAGTATCATTTCGACGAGGCCATCGAACTACTCTTTGATTCCCGTAATCGCTGATGATGAGACTATCTCTGTCTTTGTCGATAATCACATCATCTGGGCGGTTTAACTGATGAGCTCCGTTTCCACTTTCATTTCCACCGGCAACCACATTGCCATTAGTTGCACCACATTTCCATTCCATGATACGATGATTTTCACAATCAGCGATATAAATTGTTTGTTCATCATCAACGTACAGATTTCGTGGTTCTAAGAGTTGATTGATTCCACTGCCTCGTCCATTGCCTCCAGCTACAGTGATTCCACTTTGTTTCCATTTTGCATTCGGATGAATATCAATCGAACTCGCACGTAGTGGTACTAGAGTGAAACAAAAGTATGAAGTAAAAATAAACATTGATTTCATTGAAATGAGTCATTCATTAGTTTTAAACAGTGCCGAACTGTTCTCAATTACGCAAAAAAAGATTAATATTTTTTACATTCCTAAAATTTATACTTTTGACTCGATTAGAATCAGATTTTGAGTAATTATCAAACATTTCTAAACTAGATCATTCTTGTGTTTTTTTTTCTCTTAGAATATTTTGACTTTAGGTCACCAAGGTACTTAGATTTGACCAAAACTTCTGAGAAAACTGCTGACAATTTTATAAGACAATTAAGATTTAAGATTCTAGGTACTTGTAGAAAACGAGATCTTAATAATTTCTTTTCAGAATTGGGACGAATTGTTTTTTTTTTTTCATAGTTCAACTCATTGTTTCAAAAATGATGAAGGTTTATAACTTCTGAAGTTTTGATATATTGAAATTGATCTCTCAAATTCGATTCCCATCGAACTTTGTGGAAAATAGCTTTTACTTAAATGACCACAGTGAATTATTCGAATTACTGTCATCGAAATCAAGACTGTTGTTGATATTGTATGAGGTATTTTATAAAAAATGAAAATAAATTGAGCGCCAAAATTCTTAATTCCAATGTATTTCTGTTCAGGAATTGTTATATAACTTTTAAGGTAACTGAACAGACAGCCTAAGCGTATCGATCGCTTTAATACCTATTAATGAATTGATGAGGGACCTTCTTCAAATGAACAATCGCTTTCAAACTGGCTTTTGGCAATATTCGGGTGTAGGTGTGAGTTGTTCTTGTTCAATCACGCACAAGTCCACACTCACACTCTCCATGGTCTCGATGCGATTTGAATTATTTTCTTTTCGAATGATATAGTTTTAATCTCGTTGTCTGAAGAATCTATCATGTCGAATATATTTCATTATAGAAAAAAAAAGATGATCATACATAAATAATTGAATCAATTATTTTAATTTCTTTTCAAAATTTTACAAATAAATGTTCAAGAAACTAAATAATACGAAGATTTGAAGTCTTTTTCTTTCTCAAATGAATATGGGTTTCAAATAAAATAAAAAAAAATGATTTTTCTATTTTCAACTGTTGTAACACTTATTATCTTCTCTGTTTATTCTATTTTTCGTTCTATAATATAAAGATAGAAACTGTTGAAAATTCTGGTTTAAATTAATATTTTGATTTGAAATTTATTACATCAGCATTATCTTAATTATCATGAGATCTATTTATGCATCTGATAGATAAAGATATATTGAACGTGAGATTGCCTTTTGTAATTCATATTTTTTTGAATGTTAAAAGGTTAGTAAATTATAAAAGGCTGGAGTGAGAATGTAGATGTTCTCGCAAGAGGAATATAAAAAGTGGCCACAGATTATTTTTTTTGCGTGTTTGTTTAATTTGATTGAATGATATCCAGTTTATAGAACTTTTTACACATCCATTATAGGAGAATATACCTCAATGGAAAATTATATGAAATTGAAAATAGTGAATTCAATGAATGAAAATCTTGCTTCTTATTTGTTTTGAACTACTATTTCTTATCATGAGCATAAATTATAGGGAAAACGAAATCTTAGATCTTTGAATTGCTTCTTATGTTCTGATATAGACATCTTTCGAAGACTTGCTGGTATGGCTGAATGACTAAGATGTTTAACACATACCCACAAGTACTATGTTCGAACTTTAGCTCCCTCAATCATAAATTGACCTCGGATAAGTTACTAACGGTTGCTTTTTCTTGGATCACCTATTCGATAACAAACTGAATACGTGATTGACATACACTAAAAGTCTTTGTGGCTAGTATTTGGTTAGTCAGTATGTATGGAGAGCTTTTCGTTCAGCGCTACATTTAATAATAGATGTAGCAAAAATATGTGACTCTCGAAACTATTCTCGGACAGTGTCCTACACCACGAGATAGCCGAAAAGCGCAGTATTCTTCTTTTCGAAAGTTTACTAGAACTGAATAGTGTGTGCGTTGGTATGGGTTGCCATACGCCGATGCTGAAATGCGCATCTAGTTCCACACTCATGTCTATATCGATAGTTACCCCCATCTCATCGTTCTTTTCTCTCAGAACTTAGGTTGAAAATACTCACAGTTTATTTGTTTTCCTTGGATTTCATGTTCATCTTGGATTTCTCGAATGTAAATTAGTCGATCCCAATCAATTTGATTATTTTCAACAATGATGCTTTGAGTTTTATCATTTTGAATGAGTTTTTCAAGTTTTTGTGTAATTTTATTGATTTCTTGTTTAAGCTGATCTATATCATTTTCAACAAAAATTTCTTCTTCTCGACGTGAACGAATTTCTTTTGTAATTAATTGAAGTTGTTCTGTTATTTCTGCTCGTTTTTCATCGATTAGCTTGATAAGTTCAAGATGTGCCTTTTCTGCTACTTTTTCAACTTTGTTGATTGTTGTTTTTTTCCATTGTTCAATTTGAGCGAAAAGATTCAATGACAAATAATTTGATTTTTCTAATTTTTGTATTTGGTCAAGAAGTTCATCATGCGATCTAATTATTTCATCATCGAATTTAATCGCTAATTGTTTTTCATGTTCTCTGAAGTCTTTTGGGCAAAAGTATTTATTACATCCAAAGCAAAAGCGTATTCCTGGTAATTTATTGCAAATTGAACATAAGTTTGATTTATTTCCCGTTGCCATTTCTCTTACAAGAAAATCAATCGAATTATGTTATTTATTATACGAATATCTCGATCTAAAATGAACTGATATGAATATTTATAAACAAATAATATGAATCGCTTTATCACGGCAGAGAAACAAGATTATGTCAATCTTAAACGGGTTGCTATGTTTACGACTTAATAATTACATTTGTTTTGTTCAAGTTCCATTACCTCAAATATTTTTCGGACAATGAATAAAATCTTTTGAAATAAAGCAGTCTATGTCGATAGTTCAGTAAATAAAGTATATTAATCGAGATTTAAATAATCCATAAAATATCACACATATGAGAAAATAAATCGAAAATATGTGAAAGTTTTCTGAAAAAGCTATTTGTTTTATCCGTTTTGATAGCAGAACAATTTTCTTAAAAGATTTCTTGTCGCTAACACTTGAGAATTTCTTTTATTCCGTTTGTTTATCTATTGCTTTACCTGGATGTGTTACAGCTCATATATGCAAGACAAGGCAGCATTATATATATAGGATAGTAGAGGATTTCAAGTTTTACCAAAATTTACTAATATGTGGCAACATTTATTCTCGTTTTAATTGAGAATGAAAATAAAAGCAGAAAAAGTAGGCAATTTCGAACCTTGTCTATCAAGAGTTTGTTTGCTTATATTTTACCAATTTTGTTTTCAGTAAATAAATGTAAGGCAATAATCAAACAAATGGCATGATGGAAAATTTCAAGCGTTATCACAATATGTAATTACCTTTTTCGGAAATTTTTTAGTTTTCAAGTATCCTTTTATTTCTGTCATGAACACTGAACAGATCTCATGGAGCCTATGAAAACCCAAAACAAAAATCACAATAACGAATAGATTTTCATTGCTCATGTTTCGATCGGGAAAACCCTTTTCATACTCAATGATTAACTATTCTGAGATAGGTGACGGAGACAAGAAAAATTTTGTTTTCGTTTTTAAAATACCAACACATGCAAATAAGATTTTCTACTAGCCTCTTAATTCACTTAAAAATAAATTTAGATGATTAGCTTGAGCGAATATTACGTTGTTGTTTTGCATGATCAAATGCTTAACGGCGAGATTTGGTCTTAAACAAATTAGACAACGCCATACTAATAATGTACGGAAATAAAGAAAAACTTTGAATTCAATTATATTTGTCTAACACAATCATTTAAACTAAATTTAATGTCAATTAAGTATTAAGTAGAAAAACTTAAATTTAATATTAGCCATAAAGTGATTCGTTAACATTTAATATCAGGAGATGAAATGATGACTGCGGACCATCTATCATCGAAACTAAGGTTTAAAAAATGAATCTTAACTTAATTTCAGGTTTAACAGAATCCTTGATCTCTACAACAAAAGATATAGGTCTGCAAAAAGATTCAGTTTTATCTATAGATAAATTTCTTACTCGCAATTTCATGAAATCTTTATTTTGTTACTTCGTACGAAAGGCATATTGAAAGAAGTGACAATCCTGTGCAAATGAAAGATAAAGCAAAATAAAAAAACAATCCTACTTTCTTTGCTTGCAAAGCAAAACAATGTAGAAAAGAAAAGAAAAGGGTCCTTCTGCAGTTTAGTCACACCCTTATACTGATTAGTGCATTGAACGCAGCAATCAGCATGAGGGTGAGGGTAACGATGTGACTAAACTGCAGTAGTACCGCCTCTGAAACGTAGAATTCTACAACAACTGATTTGCTGAAAGTTGAAAACATTATGTGAAGGTGTCGCTACAACACAATAACCATGATGATGGTGGAACTTATGATATCGTCTAAAGGATATGGGTAATGACAAGACATTTTTTATATCCCTCTGTGAAAACAATCATTTATTTAATATCCGATACGAAAAAAATTCAAATGTGCAGTATTTTATTTGGTAGTCTTTAATCAGAAGAAACACAGCCGAGAAAATTTTCGAACAAAGATCGATTATGAGACCAAAGCGAGAGTGTGGGTATGGGTGTGACTCGAGAAGAGAAACACCACACCCACAGCCACCCACACTTGAAACAAATTGTTCGTCATCGAAAGAGAGTCATCCATGACATTCACAATTCTATTCTTGTTTGAATAATCGATCATTAATCAATTAACAATGACGAATAGAGACAACAATTTATTATTTGAATTTTATCTCTTTATTATAGGATTGATTTTTCTTGTCTATAGAATAAGAATTAATAAATTATCGAAATTTTTGATTACAGTCAATACATATTTGATTTTTTTTGACAAAAATTCTTGTCAATATTAGACCAACATAATAAAGGAATTATTATTTTGCAAAAGAAATAGGTCCACAGCAAATCTGGAGATTACCGATGTTCTTTTCAACAAACATCAACAATAGGACAACTTGATCATTGTCTATAGTTTTATTTTATATTTTTGAGAAAAACTCATAAAAAATTCTCATTAATTTTCGAATGAAAATGAGAAATAACATTCCTTGACAACTGTAACGATAAGAGATTGCCAAAATTTCTCGTTCAGAAATTGAATCATTTAATCTAAAATCAAATGGAAACTGGTTGAAAATGATCAACAAGTATTTACTTTTGTTTTTTTCTCATTTCTAATTTGAAACTCGTTAAAAAGAGGCGAAAAAGTCAAATTTTATTTTGAACTTTTAAGAAAAACTTTAATTGTTTCTCTTGTCTCTATAATTGATATTCTCTATTAAAAATGTCATTTTCAATATTTCAACAAAATAATACAAATGATTTCTTTTGTCATAAGAAAAGAATTTACTGAACAATTTGTTTTTATGTAGAGTTCAACTAATTGCTGTCAGTCCTAGTACTGAACATTTTTACTATATATATAGCTATTATTTTTATATGAATTCATTTTTCTTACTGATGGTAATTATGAGTTAGACACGCACAAATTAAAGCTGAGCATTGGAGGCAAGAGATTTGGCAGTGTTTTTACAATATGAAATAAAATTGAGAAGAACAAGAAAAGAAATGAAATAAGCAGAATATTTTATGATAGTTTATGGAGACGAATATCATTTTTCGTCATTATGGCGAGAACATCGTTACCCACTTGAACAGCATGAAGAGGTGATAGATTGTATTGATCTTTTTTAATGATTTTTCCGCCTCCAGAAATATGTAGCAGTTCGGAGTTGTTTGGGTTCATCACCATCCATTCGTTATGTCTCAATGAGTACACGATTGTTTGATGAGAAAACTTGGATTCATTCGTTTTCTCTGCAGAAAACGGATGATCGGTATTCATTGACTAATTGAATCGAGGGTAGAAGAGTATTCTTGTAGATCGATGGACCGACGCCTATTGTCAAAAGAAATAAATTATCATTTAACACGTTCCACAATACCAGTTTTTCTTTGTTGCGTTGCTTCCTAGTGAAATTGGCTCAATATACATTGTCTTTTCATTGAGAATGAAGTCATTTTCTCAAGTGATGATAGAGAAGCGAGCGAGTGTCGAAGACCAGAACATATCCCAAATAGTACGGTAAGGCCACAGAATTTCTTTCCAAATGTTCAATTATCGATCTAAAAGCCAGAGTTTTGACTCTTGTTTCGGTAAGATAAAATTGGCATTAACTGCTATGGAATAAAAATTGTCTCTTAGTTGAATCGTTTGATATGGAGAAGATAGAGGTAAATAACCATCTGGTTTTGATCTATTTTGATGAATAGCAACGAAATGATCATCGATGAGTAGTGACGAAAGAATGAATTGAGAAAGTTCGAATTGATCCGCTTGATGTTGAGGTGATCTAATGGACTCCTTCATTGCATCGATGTCTTCTTGTGTTGCTTCTTCTTTTCGAATAAATTCATTGATTTGATCTCGTAAACGATTATATTCGATTTTCTGATTATCTAGTTCGCTATGAAAAAACTTTCTGAATTCTTGTTTCTTTCTTTCGCAAAAACGAATTAACTGCTTGATATGCATCTTGACGTCATTTATTAAGCTTAGTGAGAAAGCAGGTTGAAGTAAAGAATCGTTGTTGAATTGATTGGATAGTTTGTTGAGTTCATGAGTAAGTGGTGTCAGTCAAACTTTGACGAGATCGGAGTGTTCATTTAGATGAACGATGCAAAAATTCTGTTGACAGTAGATGCAGAGTACATCGTGTAGAGGAATCAATAGTGCACACTTGTGATAAGATCATGTCGACGAGCAAATGTCATACGCGCGATGTTGTTCCGCTCATTCATATAAGGTCGTGTTCGATGTGAAACAGATCTGACTCAATATTTAAAATAGTCCAATAAAATGTATTTATTGTGACCGAATGAGGCAGATGATTGCATTAATAATGTTTCTTTGTTTTTTTTCTGTGTATATCTGGCGAAGACTGAAAGAAAATTCGATATGTAGTGGTACCAATCGATGAAGTCTTCATGGCGACTTTTGTGTTGCTCGTTAAGCGATGAATCGTTCTACAATGATTGAATCAACACATTTGTCATGAACTAAAATGATGAAAGCGTGTGTTTTGTCGTTCAAGTGAAGAATGAAATTGTGTTTGAAGAAACAAATTATTTGAAATGTATATACTTGAAGTTTAAGGTCAAGAACGTTAAGTTTCGTATTGATAAACGTATACTCACAACATATGTTTGATACATTTCCACTAGTGAATTGTACAAATGTGTAATGGTATCTGCAATTACGATATGACATGAATACTAGTGAATGCCAATTGCATGAATGTTGTTTCTGGTCCCATTGATTGATTACTTAAATTCACTTGTTCTATAGAATAATAGCTCTAATGCTGAATCTTCTAGTGGTCAACATACACACAGAAGATAAATTATTACACATCTTTCATAGTATCCATCATATGCTCTTAGAAAAAGACGTTGGACATCTTTTTACCAAATCTTTAATTGTAAACTCTTAGTGACTAAAATCTGTGCTAGAATAGATAGTCTGTCTCCCCAGAAAAACAATTTGATCAGTTTTCCGAATTACTTTGGCATAAACTATGTTGAATATTTATATAAAAGTTATCCTAAAGGATTTCTAATCATTGGTTTTTATTTTGATTCGATATAACGTGTACAGAAAGAGCAGACCATGATGCATCTACTCATGTAAAATTCAATAGAGTCTCTTGCTGATACAGAGAACTTTTGAAAAAAAATTTTGCTTGTTGAATAAAATGTGTTCTATTGTCACAATGATAAAGTAAATTAAGAGAAAGTTATTATCATGAGCCCTTTTTATCAACAGGTACTAAATGAAAACGTATCACACATTATACTACCACACGAGATGTTTGTCGGAAAACATTTTTGTTCAATGCCAATGCAACACGCTGGGATCTCATCATTTTAGCTATGTTTGACGTAGAAGTGAATAATTACTTAATTTGAATATTTAATTAAATATAGTCATACTGTCGTTTTTTATTCTTGTTGATCGAACACGAAACAATGAGATATTAAGATCCAATCATCTCAATCTGATCTGATCTCGATGAAATTGATCTAAAACAGTTCAGCTAGACTTCAACATCCTTTGCTTATAACGTTATTAATTGATTTTGAACGATAAAGTAATATTTAAAAAAAAGAAGATATTTGAAAAGGTATCAGGGCAGTATGGATGTTCAGGTGTGAATGTAGGTGTAAAGAGAAGAACTACACTCACACTCCATCACCTCTGCTAACGCGCAGAGCCTCTCTTATACTTTGTGCAAACAATCTAATTTATCTTTTGATACGAAAACTTTTCATCTTGAAATAACTTAAGAAACTCTTTCTTTGAAATATGGTTAAAACGAACCAAAAACATCTCTAGATATGTATTAACATCAAATAGTTCTTTATTAACAAGTAAATATCAGCCCTATTCGTCTTCACTAATATGCACACAGAAACATTCAATCTACTCATTGACATAGATGTAATTGAAAAAACTTGTTAAGCACATTTATCTATGAAATGCATCAAAATACGAAAAAAAGTCTAACAATAAGTAAAAATTCATAAAAATAATTTCGTAAGCTCTAATTTTATGTTATGATCCTATAAGAAAACTCAATTTGAGTCTTTTAAATACAGTTCGAAAAGAGGTTCTTAGAGATTTTGTTGACAAAGAAAAACTCTTAAAAATGATGAAAAACCTATGGGAATAGGTTCTATGGTAATTCGATTGGTTAATATGAAAACAATGTTGAATAAAACAAACAAATATTTAAATAAGCAATTTCGTTAGACAACTATTGTTTCCTTTTTATATTCTCAAATGAAGGACGTCGAATTGAACAACTGATGTCTAGTTTTCAAGTTGATCTTTTATTATATTTTCTAAGGATGAGTGTGGGTATGAATGTCTGCCTTTTGGATGGACGTGAATATGATGAGGATTCCACACCCACACCCGACTCGACTTCGCATGGTGTATTAGTCATTCCTAGCTACTCTTTCGGATGATCCTAGGTCAACCAGTCAAAATCGTAGATCTCAGCGAATGCTGTATAACTTGTAAATGGAAGAAGATAAGAATGTTATCCTTGAGTAGACTGAAAGAGAAGAATTTTTCTTTCTAATTCATCATATTATAATTTTACTTTATGGGTCAATCATTAATTACTGATATGTGAAACTCATGTAATGAAATTCATTCAGTCACATGAGTTTCGGTAAAGCAAAGTTTTTGAAATATACAAGCTTTCACTCAGAGAATAAACATAATTTTACTCAAAATAAAATTTTTTATACTCCAACAATATCATAGTTTTCTTTTGCAATAAGTTAGTTGATGGTTGTTTCTATTTGTCTTATAATTTTTGTTTTGGATATATTAATATTCACAGAAAACAAAAACATGTAAGTTCAGCATTCATGTTCATACATTGTAGACTAGTTTGAAACGATGTTTATTTGAACAAAAAACTGCTTGTACCAAGACACCAATCGTGACACAATCGCCAATATTGAGCTGTTATGTTATCGATCTCAATTTTTTGGTGCTGCATTCCAACATAAGCGATAGTTCCAACTGTTATCCAGTTGTTATCATCATGAGAATATTGTAAAGTGCCAGAATTACCATTTTGTGGATTCCATACTTTAGGATTTTTATGTAGTGGTGCAATTGTTACACTAGCTACTGGAACAGGGCGTGAAAATGTAGCTTTGATCCATTCACTACCATAGCTGTACGAAGTTGCAGCACCTGTTGTAAACAGTCCATCTAATAATGATTCACGTGTGTTTTCAGCATTCAATGGTGCGTATGATGAAGATACAGATAATGTCCAGTTATTTAAGTCTACGACAAACCAAAAAAGAGTTATTAAGTTCAAAGAATATTATGAAAGCATAAGACAAACCGAAATTTAACGTTTTTAATGATAGTAGAGTAGTCTTTCCAATTTGTTTCTCATAAGATGCACACAAACGAAATATATAAGATGTATTTGATTTTAAACCTTGCAGATGATATTTGGTTTCCAAACCACGATAGATCTTAAAATAAATAGTATTGCAAAGCATATTGAATCAACTTTTGATTGTTGAAAGTTGATTAGTAATGGTTTTTCTATTAGTACTTGTAATTATAATAGAATTAAAATATAACAAATTTTAATAGTTAAAATTGCTTCATTAGTGATTCTACTTGGTCTCACTATGTTTGTATGAAGAAGAAAAATCTATTTCATGATATCGTATTTCATCATGTTGCTCTATCAAGTTGAGTGTTCATTTTTTTTCTGCATAGTTAAAATCCTTTGGTTCTTATCATTATTTGTTTCTCTTTCTGTGATAGTAGATTGATTCTCGATGCAGTTTTCACAGAGAATCACGAATAATAACCAATATTCACTGACCATGAAGATATCAAGTCAAATAATTTTGTATTTCAAGACAAATACTTTGGTTAGTTACAACATATTCTCAGTTATCTATTTCATCTCTTTTTTTTTCGAAATATTTCCGCAGGAAAAGAATACAAAAATCAACTACATAAATCAATTCAGAGAATTATTTGCAAATCAAATTTTTTGAGAGCATGAGGGTGAATAAGATTGTTTTGTGTCCTACTCTTCCCCGGCTTTGAAATTGAGATTTTTCTATTGGAATCGAATGGAGTGTGCTTCCTGATTATATTTCACTATTGAAATCTACGATATGAGACATTTTGGCTTTTGAAATGTAGAGTAATCCCTCCAGGTTAAAAAAAAAACAACTTTCTTTCCTGCATGAAGCAATATTAGTTTCCTAAATAAGCACAAGGTGAATACTGGCAAGTATAGACAGCAAAAAACACATTTTGATTCGAAAGATGTATACTTCACGGAAAGTTGTATTGTTTGTCCTAACTTCCAATATGTAAGCTGTGATTGGTGGTTCACATTGAATTGATTCCCATTCAATTTCGAGATAGGTACGACCAAGTTTACATTTTTCTTTTACAAATGATGGTGCAACTACAAAAAAAGTTTTGATCGTGTTTCTTAAATAGATACAAGAAAGAAGAAAAGACTCACGTATTTCTCCTACAATTCCTGAAGTATCAATCATTTCGAGAATAGTTTGAATCGAGATATGAAATGAAATAGAATCAACTAGATGATCACAATGATAGTGTTCAACATTTTCATTTTCAAGATTTTTAATTTTATCAATAATAGCTTTGGATCGAGTCAATGCAGCATAATCATTGAGTGTTAATGTGTGTCTTCCATCTTCTAAACATTTTTTTAAACTCGAATTAATATTATTAAGATCTTCTTGTTTCGCATGCATATTATTGCGACATGTCTGAATAATTGGATGAACTTAAAAAAAATTTCGTTCAATTCTATTATCATACTTGAGATGTTTCTTTTAATCGTTGTTTCAATACTTTTCGTCTATTTTCTACACATGTCATAATCCGATCAAATTGTTTGTCAATATCTTGATTAGTTTTTGATTCAATAATGTCAATATCTAATTAAAATATTACTAAGAAAAAAAATTTTATAATCAATTATTTAAGTTTACTTTTAAGTGCTTGTTGTAATTGACTTAATTCATCCGCAAATGTAGTCTGTAATTTTCGAATTTTCTCAAGATATTTGTTCAATATATTTTTTTCTCCTTTTGCCACATCAACAACTGATTTTACTTGATCACTATGTTGTTTATGATTATTAACCGATATACATGCAACACAACAAACATCCTACAAAAAAGAAAATTAACATTTGTTATTCTTGAGTAAATCAGAAGTACGTTATAAGAAAGAAACCACTGATGAATTTAGTGCTACATAATACAATTGATTATATAAGTTATACATATGAAAATTTATGAGAATAATAATTAAGATACAAAATAATTGAATATTTTTAAAATGTCAACTATTTACAATATCTGATTTTATTATCTCTCAGAGTAACGTAGATATTTCAGTGATTGTCTATGTAATATATATGATATACGCTTGTGTACATGGTTGATTTTTACATTAATCTCGCATGACGCTATTATTAAAAAGAATTTCTAAGAAAATATAATCAATGTCTGGTTTTTTATCTATAAAACTTTAACTTATTTTGAATAGTTTTTGTATTACCTTGCAAAATAAACAATATAAAGAAAGTGGCATGTGATGAGCTTTACAATTCAATGGTTTAGCAGTTTGATTTTCGATAGTAACAGCTTTTTCATCAATAGAGACAAATTTATGTAACTTTTGTGATTTAAGTAAATGTGCAAAATTATTATGTTGATCACAAAAATTAGCATTATCCTGAACGCAGTACCATGTAGCAATTGCATTACATTCACTACAATATTCCATTTGCTGTTCGGAGGTCATTTTAATGTAAAAAAAAAAAACAAAAGTCAATTTTACGAAAAGAAATGTAATGAAAGAAGTGCTGAGGGTGTGTAAGATAAACAAAGGATGTAAGAAGCGACATCAAATTTTTTTCCTCGTCATGCTCATAACAGTGATTTTTTGGGTTTATTTTTCTTACTTTTATTTGTTGTGATTCTTGAAAAATTAACTCGTAGACGAAATACACACTAGTGATAGTTCTTCAATTTTAAAATATAAGAGAATTCTGTTTTTATTTATAAAAAAAAGAGTTAATTTTATGTGTTTTTCTTTTGTTTCTGATCTCGCATGTGATAGAGAAAAATTTTTTCGAAAATAATATTGTCATTCTGTTAATTGTTTATTACATCATGAGTGTATTAACGCATAAAAAAATAATGTGTTTTGCCATATAAATATGATTTTCTCAAAAGAGTGTAGGTGTAGATTAGAGTCTTCGATCAGCTGTTTTCTTCGAATATGATCATTCGATAAGAACTAAAATGTTTATTAGAATACGAAATATATATCATAATGACATTCAGAGAACCTCATTAGTTTGAAACGATATCAAAATTTACATTGATTATTCAATCAGCATTGTACCATGTAATTATGAGATATCAGTTGCTATAGCTCCATTTCGACTAAGAAATGATGTAGAGCTCTCTTATGAATATTTTCCCAAATATTAATCACTATCAGACGATTTTAAAGTGATGTTTCAGATAATAACTGTTGTGTCATATTGATAGAAATGTTTGAAAACAAAAATAGAAAGTAAAACGCTGCTTTTCTCATGATAGACAGAATTAGAATGAAAACTATTTTGTTATGTTCGTCTTAGAAAATGTCAACCAGAAAGGCAAAGGGAACAACATTTATCTAATTTATATTGCATCAGATGTGGTTGTTAAATATTTTTGAGAAACTTTGATAAACAAAAGGACAACGTGATCATGAATTCTTAGTATTATTTGAGAGAATATCATGTAGAATTCAAAATTTCATTTAACATATGTCATCATAATAACCTGTCTTTGCTCTCATGGATTAAGCAGTATTTTATAGAAGAACAATCAGTAATACAATCAATCAGTCGTGAAAAAGTATACAGAGAGCGAAAGATTGGGTTAGAAAAAAGAACCTGATGAAAACTCGATAGATTTCAACGTTCAACCCCCCGCGTCCAAATCCGTCCATTGATCAGATCGGACTTCAAGATTCCGATATGGTTGGATATCAAGCGTGATGGTAGACATTCCTTCATCCACACGCAAAAACTAAACTGTATACGCATCTTTTACTAATAGTTATTGAACAAATTAAAACAAAGGGAACCCCACCCACATCTAGATCGACTTCCTAGCAGTAAGGCTTAATATATTTGCTGATCTTGAATCTGTAAATAAGCTCTTATATCTTCAAAAGTATTGCATGTAATCTTTATTTCTTTTTCTTGAGGTAATCTGTTTAAATCGAATACTATTGGTTGCACAAGCTATATGCATTGCATATCAACAAATTGAATCTAGCGCTCTCTATCTTATAACGCAGTTTTTCGATGAAAATAAAAAAGAGAACTAATATAAAAATGAAGAGATAAGAATTTTCTTAGTAAATTACAATAAAAAAGAGAACTAAAATAAATTTTAATTCCTTTTCACTTAGCAACCGACCATAATACAATATCTTTATGTCAGTTGACCTTAAAGTCGATTTTTTTTTTCTAGAAGCAAATCGATTGTATTTTTGCCTCAATAGAATAATTTTTTGTTTCAGACGCCATTCAACAACATAGTTATGCCAAGGTTTTTCGAATTTTATGTTTATTACTAAATACCAAAAAAAACATAAAGATGATAATAAAGAAAAAGAAAGACGTATTTAGTAAAAACATTAGAAAAAAACACATCAATATCAAGGTTTGTAATGGTTAAGATGTTTGACATAATTTCTGAAGAATATCAGAATGAACATGCACATATAGATTTATTTTCTATATATGACACAATTATACAATATCATTAACAACAAATAATAATTCTTTTTAGTTCTATCAAATAATTATACAAAGAGATTACTGATATGTTTTGTGAATACAATTATGATTAATAGTTTAACTAATAATTCATAGTGTATACATATCATAATCGATAATTTTTGATAAAAATAATCTTTTTTTTTTTTTTTTCTTTCACTAGCAGAAGAGTCTTTAAAAAGAAATATTACGCTTTGATAAATGTCACTTATTTTTTGTTACTATTCATTTTATATGCCAGTTATTCGATCACTACTACAGAATGTTGTGAGCCATTCATCATTTGATATTATATACTAAGGCTCTTAAAGTAAGTGAATATATACATATATGAGTGAATGTTACCTGTTGTTTGATCTCATTTACATTTTTTATAGAAGCCAGAAATGGTGATGCATACAAAAAGTCATTAAGTTTCAAAATAATCCATTAAAACAACATTGATCAAAATGTAGAAGCAAATAGTAAGTGTATATTTATTTTGACAGGATAACTGTTTTCTACATAAGAAATATGTTCATAAAATTTTTTTGTCTTTTGTCTAAGTTTATACTAATAGATTTTTTTTTCAGCTATATTTCTGATTCATAGGCAAAGTTTATTTTAAAAAAATCAATCATGCTTATTTATTCATATGTATACTTTTCATTTGTATTTTTTTTTTCTTAATCAGATTCGTTTTATTCATACAAATGACGCATTCTTTTTTTAGTGTTTAAATCATCCAATCATAATATGAAGGTTCATTGATCTTTTGGCGGACAAAGACTTGTTTACAAAAAGGAAAAAAAAAGGAGAATTGCCATTTTCTAAAATATATCGAGGTCGATATCAATACAGAGGAAAGAATTTAAATCGACTACGCGCATATACATATATATATATATATGTGTGTACAATTGAATCATTGTCTATTTTACTTTTATTCTGCTCTTTTCGACGAAACGACTGATCATAGTTTTTATATATTTATTATTTATCTTATAGATGATCATACTAGTTCTTTTTTATCAACAATAAGAACTTGTTATAGAAATCTCCGTAAATATTGTAGAATAATTTTAAAATAAAAATAAGAGAATGGAATCAACCAAAGATGAATTTAATATTCCAAATGTTATTATTGATCCACGAACACGTACTCAATATTCTAAAGGAAAATTTCTTGGCAAAGTTAGTTAATTATTTTATTGTTTTATTTCATTTCGTTTTTTTTTTTTGTTTAATTAAGGGTGGTTTCGCTCGGTGCTATGAATTAATTGATATTAGTAATGGTCAAGCATTTGCTGGAAAAGTTGTACCTAAATCAATGTTAGTTAAACCTCATCAAAAAGAGAAAGTATTAAAAAAAAAAGAAAAAAGGAAAATTTTCATTCGATTTAATTTTTTATTATGTTAAATTAGATGCAACAAGAAGTGACAATACATCAATCACTTAATCATAAACATATTGTTCAATTTTTTTCATATTTTGAAGATGAAAATAATGTTTATATTGTTCTTGAACTTTGTCGACGACGTGTAAAATATTTATTTTTTTTTTGTTTTTGTTTAATCATAATTACCTTTGTATTTTTTGTAATAGTCATTGATGGAATTACATCGACGACGAAAAACAGTTACCGAACCTGAAACACGTTATTTTGTTAAACAAATTGTTGAAGCATGTATTTATTTACATGATAAACGTATTATTCATCGTGATCTTAAATTGGGAAATCTTTTTCTTAATGATCAAATGGAAATTAAAATTGGTGATTTTGGTTTAGCAACTAGAATAGAAAATGAAACTGATAGAAAACGGTAAAACATGTTATTAACCCATCGAAAATTTTATGTTCTTTTCGAAAGTAAATCTTTCTTGTCTAAAGCAAAAAGAAAAAAAGTCGAATGTCCAATGCATCAAGTTATATTGAAGTAAACAGTTTATTTTATAATTTTAACGCTTTCTTTATCCTTAATCATATTTGAATTAGAGATTAGTAGAAAATAGGAAAGCAAAATTTTAGAAATTGTATACATAGATCACTTTCAACTATATGAATGTATATATATTTAAGAACGAGCAAATAAATAGAAATCTATTGGGTGATCACTTATTTCTATTAAAATAAGTGACCCTTTTATGATACGCAGATAAAAGACTGATTAAATTGTTATATAAATCGATAATTTTGTATCAGACAGATTTTAATAATTATATTATTAAATTCTGTATCGAAAACAATATCTAACTATATTTATAATTTCTATTTATTTAGAACACTATGTGGTACTCCAAATTATAGTAAGTTTTAGTTGTTGTTTTTTTCCTTCTTCTTTTTCATTTACCAAATTCTTTTATTTGTTTATTTTTTTTCTTCTTTCTTTAATAGTTGCACCTGAAGTGATCAATAAGAAAGGTTAAATCTTATATTCAAATGTATTTTGTTTCCTTTTTTTTTGTAAAAATAATCTTTATCTATCTAGGTCATAGTTATGAAGTTGATGTATGGAGTTTAGGTTGTATTCTTTATACATTATTACTTGGTAAACCACCATTTGAAACATCATCATTAAAAGATACATATTCTAAAATACGTAAAAATGATTACTTAATACCAGATAATCGTATAACTCGTGAGAGTGTATTACTTATTCAACGTTGTTTAAGACATGAACCATATGATCGTCCAACAATGGCACAAATTTATTTGGATCCATTTTTTTCTGGTTTTACACCAGCAACATTACCAACATCCGTTTGTACAGTTGCGCCACGTTATTCAGTTATGGCACCAATAAATCAACCACAACAACAACCAATGATGATTAATCCTAATAAACCAACAATAACAACAAATATTCAACAACAACAACAACAACAACGTCGTCCATTTACCGAACAACAACAAAATGAACAAGCATTAATTGCTTCACGTCATCAACAAGTTGTAACATTACCAACACCAATATTAAT